CCCTTTTCCGAATCAAGACCATGGTCTCAGATTTACAACAGGAAGCGTGAGATAAAAATTACTTGGCAGCGTCACAGCTTTTTCACTCTTCTGCAAGATGTTGCTTTGCTGGAACTGGAGCAATGCTTTGTTTGGGGAACTGTTTCAAATTTCTAAAGGGGAAGGAAGTGTTTCAGCGGTGGTTAAATGAGAGCAACCCTAGGCAGCTGGGAAGTGAGAAAACACCGGATTGGAGATCTTCTTACCATCTGATCTGAATGTTTTAGACAGCTGGTTGTGAACACACACATGGTTTTGACCCCCAGCTCTGACAGCTGTTCTCTTGTGTCCAGATGTCGGTGCTGCTGAGCATGCGGTACTTGCAGACGGCCGTGGAGGCAGCCATAGCTTCGGAGAACCCGGAGGGTGAAAGTGAGGGTTACCTCCTGGATAAGGGGGTGAAGGAGACCTATCAGGATGTCAGAGCCAAGGTTCTGGGCCTACTAAAGTTCGGCCAGGTTGATCCCTCTGAAGACGCCTCGGGGGCAGCAGAGGGAGCAAAAACAGCCGACACAGAGAAGGCCGCCACCCCGACTCCGGCCAGCTAAAATGAAAAAGCAATAAATAAATAAATTAATAACCAACTTAAAATGTGTTGAGGAGGAAGGGGTGCAGGGGGTTCTGTGTGTCTGTGTTTTATGTTCTGGCTGTGTGACCCGGGTGGTGGCAGGTAGGCTCTAACAGAAGCAGCTGCAGCTCCATTTGAACAGGAGCACAGCAGGGCAACACTCATCCAATAGGCCCTGCACAGACTCGTCTCCTCTGTGCAGGACTCCATCTGAATCTGTGTAGGAGGTGTGTAGAGTTTCTGCTGGAGGTCTAGATGAGATTCAGCTTAAACTGGTGTAGGATAAACACACAAAACCAGATCCGACATGTTTTCACTCAAATTGGGAAAGGTGCGCCCACACGACGCTAAAGTTTCTCCCACGTGTGTTGTTTATTCACCTCATAGCTGTAGCGTTTGCTCTAAACTGCCATGAAATGCTTGGAATTCTGTTCAACTGGCACATGAAAATATTAAAGGTAGACCTTTTTAACTGCTTTGTAGTGTCAGCTTCCTTTTGTACATGTGTCTGTAACAAACACTCATGTGGGTCAGCAAGGAGAGCTGGATTAGATGTGTGTGTGTGTAATACTGTCTGTGTGTGTGTGCGTGCATGTGCGTGTGTGTGTGATGCCCTCTATATGAAGTTGTCATCACGTCTATTCTGGCAGCTCTGAAACAATCTGATAATCCTGGAGTTGTTAATCCCAGAAGTGCTGCACCAGCTGTATCAACAAATCCCAGCAGCACGCAGGAACACACTCCTCATGCAGCAGCGTACTCATACCACACAATGGAAGCAAACTTGTGTAGCACAGTTTCTAAAAGGCTTTTCACCCTTCACAACGATTTGTTCTAGTTAAAAGTTGATCCAATGTGTGCACAACATTCCTAATAAAAATTCTATCACAGAACAAGTTCAGCTAATGTTTTATTTGGTTCCTGGCAAAGTGATGGGGATGCTTTTGACTGCTTTCAAAGGGAGGAAGAGGCTAATGAAGAGGGTAAGTTTTGGCTAAAAACGTTAATCTCTAACCCTAAAAATATTTATTTAATACATAAAAGAGGATGATAATTGTATTCATGCAGCTACAATAAACTCAGTACAAACGAATATAAATAACATTCATAGTTGCATTTTGCTGACCTCATTTATAAGTTTGCATCTATATTACGTCAGGCCCCACTCCTGCAACAAAACTAAAGATTTTGACTCATAAAATCAAGAGAATGAGACAAACAATATAAGGGTCAGTTTCATACAGAAAACTGCTTTAAATAGTCTTTAACAGGGTAAATTTTGGCACTGAAGAAGGCTCTAAAATTGACTGATCAGAATCTCTGGTTCTTCCAGACTGTGGTTTTTGCTACTTTGAATCAGCCTCCCAACTTCTGTTTGTTGCAAATGTGAGAAGAACCCACACATTCTTCAAAATTAAAAGTGAGAATGAGGTCAGGTAGTTCTTCAGTCCCCTACACAAGGGCAGCAGGCTATTACTAGCAATTTAAAAAAATGGATAAAAGTAGAAAATAGAGATTTGCAATTCCAAGGAAATAATGCATAAAGGACACAGACATACTAATGTGCATCTGGGTATTGCACAGGTACTGAATATTGCACTGAGTTTGGCCTGAAAAGGGATAATGCCAGTACCAGTTAAACTGAGGAGTTATACATGCTTACTGCAGAGGGGATGAAAGATCTACGATAGCATTCTGTTTTATCTGGGATGTCTCAGTCTGCCTCTGAAGGGGCTGTCCATGGTCTCCACAGTGGAATGCAGTGGGTGGGAGGGGTTTCCAAGATGGAGGTTCAGCTTCACCAGCATCCTCCTTTCACATGTCCTCAGCAGAATCTAGTTGGCAGCTCAGAACCGAGCTAGATTGTTAACTAGCTTGTTCAGTTTCTTCCTGTCTCCACCAGAGCTGCCTGCACCCCACCAGACCACAGCAGAGTGGAAAACAGAGCCAACAACAGAGAGATAAAAGGATTTTAGCAGCTGGGAATTAACTCAGAAGGACTTCAGCCTCCTCAGGAGGTGGAGGTGGCTTTGACCCTTCTTATACAGAGCATCTGTGTTGTTGGACCAGTTCAATTTGTTGTTGAGTTGAACACCCAGGTGCTTATAGGTTTCCACCACCTCAATGCCTGCTCCCTGGATGTTTACTGGTGAGTGAGGAGGAGTGTTTCTCCAGAAGTCAGTCACCATTTCCTCTGTCTTACTGGTGTTCAAGCAAAGGTGGTTCTGCTCACACAAGTCCATGATGACTGACCTGTACTCCAGGTCATTCCCCTCAGACACAAACCTGACAATGGGCAAATCATCAGAGAACTTCTGGAGGTGACAGCTGCTGGTGCTGTAGGAGATGTCCGAGGTGTAGAAGGTGAAGAGAAAAAGGTGAGAGCACTGTACCTTGTGGAGCTCCAGTAATGCGCACAGCTACCTCAGATGTACAGTTGTGCAGCCTCATGTACTGTGGCCTGTTGGTGAGGTAGTTGATGGTCCACTCAGTCAGATCTTCGTCCACTCCTGCACCCCTCATCTTCTCATCTGTTTAATTCTGCACTGTAGAATTAAACAGAGGATGAGTCTGGCAGCCCAGGCTAGTCATTATTTTCTTCCAATTAATCTTTATTTATTTTGAAAAAAAGATGACTGATTATTTTAGTACTAAGAACTAAGAAGAAAGCTTCCTCTCATGTAACCTGAATTTAATTTATGTTAAAGTTTACATATATGTATATGTGGCTGAAAGGTGCTAATAATGACACTTCAAATCTGTAGCTTAAAACTAATAAATAAAAAAAGTTGCATTTGTATAGTCTCTCTCACAAAATGTAATAGATAATGATCTCTCTGAAAAAAGACCCCCCCCCCCCCCCCCACCAAACAGGCCAGAAATTATGTAATTAAACAATTAAAAAACATAAACACGTTGTTCTATTTCTAACCACCAGGGGGCACAGTCGCACAACGTTCACACACATCTGAAGACGCTCTGGACTCAAAATACCAAACGAGAAGTCGGCCAGAAGCAAACGTGGTGTTTACAAACATAAAATAAACAAATACCTCCGATAAACCATGTAATAATAATACTGATTTATTGTCAGGCGCAGATCATTTGTCACAGCCCAAATAAACGATTTAAACCACTTATTTCATATTTTGGTGATAAAATTAATGAGTGCATGTAGGAAGACGTGTGTGGGGTGTGTTTAAAAACGCAACATGATGTTTCTGAGAATTCCGCTGCGGTTTTGCAATGAAACTAACTGACGCACACACTCATAGAGGAAGAGGTGGAGGGAGGGAGGGCCGCACACACACTCTCTCACCCATAAACACACACTTATATATATCATGTCAAACAGCTCCACTTAACTCCAAATGGAGCCTTTGGTTTTATACAAACAAAAAAGTGATAGTAATTAGGCCTCTTTTTCAGGTATTTGCGGCCCTCGGAGCGCAAATATGGACTCCGACATTCAGGAGATAATAGAGGAATTCATGGGAAGTGCGCTGGCGCAGTGGGTACGTCATTTATCATTTGTCACCTTAAATTAGAGAAAGGATTTCTCGACGCAGAGTGAGATGAATAATACAACGAGATAATAAGGAAGAGTGGAGAATCCGACCTTGCTCTGTAAAGCTCTCTTATTTTCATTCAGACGTGTTTCCAACAACTTTAAGAGCAATCTGCTTCCTAACTCTATTCATATGAAACATCTAGGGTGAATATGTAATAAAAAAGGCAGTCCTGGTACCTTTCTGTTGTTGTGCACATAAGCCAGTCTACTTCTGCTTTTCGACAGCTTCCTTTGCCTCTAAATGACCAGCATTTTTTCTGTTGGCACTTCCGTGTCCATGGGCTGTTTTGAAGTTAAAATGAGTCAAACTTTTTATTCAGTGATTGTAGGGATTTGGGGATGGAGTTTTGTTGCATTCTTCCACACCTGAACCTTGGAGCAGATACATTCCAGAGTTGGAGCTTTTTTTCTGGTTGGTTTTTCTAAATGATGAGTTCAGAGGTCAAGCAAGAAAACCTCAGTATCATGCAGTTTGCTTTAGTTGACGTAGCAGAAAGAGAGACCTTGGCTGCAGTCCTGGTTGGCTGCCCGTCACTGTGAAGTGCTTCCCGGTGTGAAAGCACGGCTCCCACCTGTTCAGACAGGTGCACCGACTCAAGCGGCTTCCTGTCTAAAAGCGTTTAGACCTCAACAACTCCTTCCTCCTCCTCTGTGCTCCATTTATCTGTTCTGCTTCAGTTTCTCCTCGTTTTCACCGGTTTTCACAACAAACCTTCTTCACACTGATCTTCTCCCATGGTCATTGGTCGAGAGGCAGGGGACACTCTGGACAGGTCTCCATCATTTGCCGTTACTGATGCCAACACGCAGGAGACATGATCAGCCAATGGCAGTTATGTACTGCAGATTTCCATGGCCGATCTCTGGACGTTTTCCACCTTATTTTCATGCTACAATGTCACTCATAACATTGGTTAATGCACAAAATTTCTGAAGATGAAGCAGTTTTTGAACTCTGAATGCACTGCTCAGTGTTAAAGCCCGTCACCTAAATAAAGTTATTTTAGAGTATTAATTACGCAGATGTCATTAGTGAATGTAAAAATACATTTAAATTAAATTCTGAAACATCAGGGCTGCTCGAGGATGTGCCTGACTTTAAATCAGCTTCATAAGAACAACTATCGGTCGATGCATAGAAAATGGTAAATATCAGCCCAATATATTGACCGACAGACCAACATATCGGTCTATCCTAGTAGAGACCTCCCACTAGTGTTCCTGCCTGAACCACTGTTAAATGCAGCTTCTGGTCAGCAGAGGGCTTTCCAACGTGAAAGTTGCTCAAGTTTCTGGCTCAAGAACCACAGCAGCAAGTTCAGAAGCAATGGCTTAAAGTGTGATAAATTCTTTAGTCTTGCTTCAACCAAGTTTTGAATCTGTGGGAGGAAACTGGGGTACCCAGAAAATACCCACTCATGCAAACGGAGAACATGGTAAGTCCAAGCAGAAAGGTTGCAACAGGGATTCAAGCCTGCAACCTCGCTGTGAGGCAACAGCACTACCAACTGCTGCAGTCATCCTACACATGTTTAAATAAAAAAAAAAAATCACAATCTGTCTTTCAGGTTCAGCTGTTTGAAGATATGGTGGGGTACCAGAACAGCATCCAGATCTACAGCCAGTACATGGAGGTGAACTCCGTTTCCCAGAATGCTCGAGAGCGATACACGAGGCTCACCAATGGGATTTTCCTCAACGAGGTCATGAGGATCATGTAAGATTATCACTGATTTTGTTTCTGCCTAAAAAGCAAACACTCTAAAAGTCTTTAGATAACCCCTTTTTACTCAACCTGTAAGATATTTAGATTAATTGAGACAAATTGAAGTAGAATAATAAAATTTAAGGGTTTGATGCAAAAACTGATGTTGGATTCGTCACCAGACCAATCAGACCATCCATCCATCGATCGTCGGAACTCGCTTTGTCCACGTGGGGTCGGGGGGGCTGGTGCCTATCTCTAGCGGTCAATGGGCAATCAGGCAGGGAACACCCTGGACAGAGAGCCAGTCCATCGCAGGGCAAGACTGAGACACACAGGACAATCAACCGCACACACACGCACACACACACACACACACACACACACACACACACACACACACACACACACACACACACACACACACACACTCACTCACACCTAAGGACAATTTGGACAGCCCAATGAACCTAACAGTCATATTTTTGGACTGTGGGAGGAAGCCGGAGGACCCGGAGAGAACCCACGCATGCACAGGGAGAACATGCAAACTCCATGCAGAAAGATCCCAGGCTGGGAAGCGAACCCAGGACCTTCTCGCTGCAAGGCAACAGCTCTAACCACTGCGCCACTGCGCAGCCCCAATCAGACCATTTGAATGAAAACTTCTGATGATTTTACACTCTCCTTACCGACTAGAGTAGGACTTATTACTCAAGCCTTCATGGAGGTTTTACAAGCATGAAAACCTCCTTTCATTAGTGTATAATTTACAATAAATCATTAAAATGACCTTGTTTGCAGTTGGAGGGTTATTCTACAGGATTAAAGTCTACGACTAACCATCCTAACGTTTCAGGTCTGTGGAACAGAATGTTTTATGGGCTTTGAGGAAGGTTTCCCAGTTAATTTCACAAGTTGGACAGGCAATTACACATCACGGGAAAAAAAAACCCTACTAATTTGCTTTCGAGAGAGGCCAACAGCCGGGATCAAACTAATAATCTTGTATTTGAGGGACAAGCGCTAACAACCTAACCAGACTGGAATAACAACAGGAATACATGATTAAAGGGGAAGTACAAATAGACTGTGGAAAAAACAAGTGGTGAGATTTATTCCTAAGTAAAGTTATAACAGTATTTTAAATTGAACGAAGCATCCAGCTAATTACAGAGACGATACCTGGTCAGACCCTTTCTGCTCTGCTGAGATAGACGAATCTGCAAGCTGTTAAAATTCACCAAATCATTTATGTAAGCTTTATTTTTTCCATTTAATTAATATTTTGTGATTCCCTATATTTGTTTTTAATTCTTTTACAGCAGAGGGTCTAAAGCTTTGCAAGAGGGGCACCTGATGGGGGCCACTGATAAAGTTGCTGCTACTACTAGCTTACCCGTTCAATTATAGATTCACTAGGATAAATACAATAAAGTTTATCTCTCACCAAATAGAATATTTACTAAGAAATCACAATGTAACCATAGACACATTACTTGGTCTATATATTGTGTATGGAGGTTTCTTCCTGTTAAATGGGAGTTTTCCTCCCCACTGTCGCTGCATGCTTGCTTAGTATGAGGATTGCTGTAAAGACACTGACACTAGTCAGTGACTTGATGCAGTTTGCTGGGTTCCTTATATAGGAAACTTTTTTCTGATTGGCTTAATGAACTGGGGCCTCATTTATCAAGCTTGCTTACGCACAAAACGGGATCGGAAAACTGCGTAAGCAACTTTCCACGCAAACTTTGGGATTTATGAAAGAAAACTTAACGGAAAAAACAAACACACACACACACACACACACACACACACACACACACACACACACACACACACACACACACACACACACACACACACACACACACACACACACACACACACACACACACACACACACACTCGCGCAGCCTGAAGCGCAGAATACGGAATGCAGAATATCAGCAGGGGGACAGATTGAGACAGAATGTCATGCGTCTGTGACAGTGTGTGTCCTGTCACTGTGACCCAACTGATCATGCACCCTGGCTACTTGGACAAGGGAGATCTCCGTTTGGGTGACTGGTTAGTGTGTGACTTTCACCCGGGAGTCTGGGGATCAAATCCCGATTGGACCATTTTTTTATATCCGCCACAGATCTCTCTGAAGAATTCACAACATTGACGGCTTCAGCAACACTGTGCCACTGCATGCATTTTCTCTTATTTGTTTTGCAAAAGCACTTCCTTTCATTTCTCCACCTCACCCACAGGTACCTCAACTTCTGCTTCTGTGAAATTGCGCTTCTGCCTTGATCTGCCTTAATCTACGGTCGCCATCGTCATTGGCAGAGCGTTGCAACAGCCGGCTTATGTATCTGGATGAGATCCACAAGGCACTTTGCATTGACTGTTTTTGGCAGTAGGTGGGCATGGTGAGGGCAGGATGTGACTAAAATGCAGCTGAGAAACATTCTCGTTAGTCTCCGATCTATGAAGCGGAGATTGCGTGCAGCTGTGCGTACTCCATGTTTGATAGATCACAAACCTACTTGACATAAGTAAATATTTTTTGCTGAGCTTAAGTACGGTTTTAGTAAGGATTCTATGCAATGTTTGTTAAGTGAGACCTCTGGACCTGTATTGGAAGAAGAAGAAGAAGACCTTTTCTATAGCACATCTCAAGATAAAAATCACAAGGCGCTTCACAAAAACAAAAAATGTAAAAATATAAAGAATTTAGAAAATGGTTAAAAATATATATTTAAATGAGCAAAAAATAGACAATTGTGATAAAAAAAGTTAAGAAAGAGAGAGGGAATAGGAAGGAGGGAAATCAGTGGATCCTGAGGAATGTGGAATAGGTGGGGAGAGCAGAATAAAGAGAGAGTGGTGAAGAAGGTCATACAAAAGCAACTTTGAACAAGTGAGTTTTCAGCTGCTTTTTAAAGGAGACCACTGAGTCCACTGATCTCAGACTCAAGGGGAGAGAGTTCCAGAGTCTGGGGGCCACAGCAGCAAATGATCTGTCACCTTTGGTCTTTAGCCTGGTGCTGCACAACCAGTAGGCTTTGATCACTGGACCTCAGGGACCTGCTGGGGGTGTAGGGACTAAGAAGATCACCAATGTAAGATGGCGCTTGTCCATGTAAGGCCCTATAGACCAGAACCAGGATCTTGAAATGAACCCTGAAGTTGACTGGCAGCCAATGAAGCTGGAGTAGAAGCGGGGTGATGTGGGTGTGTTTGGAGAACTTGGTCAGAAGCCGAGCACAGGCATTCTGAACCACCTGTAGACGGTTCAGGGAGGTTCTGCTCAGACACGTGAAAAGAGAGTTACAGTAGTCTAAGCGTGAGGAGATGGAATGTTTACCATGTGAAGTGCCTTGATTTGGCGCTATATAAATAAACTTGAATTGAACTGAATTTAATTAAAATTGGGGTGGCACAAAGAAAAAAAATGTGGAAAACAGAATTTCAGGAGTTTGATGTTTTTATAAAAAGGTTACCTGAAAAATGCATTAATGCAATAGTGATTGCTTTCACAATAATTCTTTGTGCTGAGATGGACTGTTATATAAGCATGAATAAATGTTTCAGCTGCTGTTGAGCACATCAGATTTTTTTAGGGTGACGGGAGAGCAGGCAGGACTAGGGTGGACTTTTTTGTTCTAAGACTCCAAGTTTAGCAAGAGTACAGCAGATAATAAGGGTTCACCTCGTCATTGTCATTTTCCATGCAGACTTTATGATTTAATAAAAAAACTTCATGGGAAAATGTTCACAATTTTAAAGGTTGAATATGGAACAATTTAATATAACGGTATGTTTAAAAAATACCCTTGTTTCGAGGTGTGCAGAATGAAGGTACAGTATTTTCTTTAAAAGCTGTATTTTAATAAATAAAAAAATCTAGGTAACACTTTAGGGAACACAAATTAACCATTAATTAGCTGCCAATTAATATGCATATTAGTGGACTACTAAGTCTGAATTAGTCATTATAAAGCTATTAATAGGTGCTTATTACCAATGCTGTAATTCTAATATTAACAGACTATAAATTAAGAGTTTTATCAAAATAAGCCATTCATAATGGTTTGTTAACTGACAGTAAATGGTTTGTTGCTGAGTAACACACATACTAATTAACTAAAATCAATATGTAGCTTTTAAAGAAGTAATTCAGGGGGAATAGTTATTCTGCAATAATAACCAAAAAGATTATGTTCTGGTATTATGTAAATAAACACCAAACCCCACATGTTAATAGTGCCTAAACAACAATCAACCACTTGTAAGCAATAATATGTTCCCCATTCTAAAGTCAGATTTTGTTCATACCTAATTACTAGTAGTCGAGTAATAATTAGCCCCTTAAAGGCAAGAATATCAGCATCCTGATCCTATTCAGTAAATCATGAAAAGAGGGGGTTCTGCGCACATTTTGTCAGTCGTCTCGACTGAATTACTTCTTTAAAAGCCACATATTGATTTGAGCTGCTTACTATGTGTGTTAATCAGCAGCAAACCATTTACTTTCAGTTAACAAACCATTATGAATGGCTTATTTTGATAAAACTCTTCATTTATGGCCTGTTAATATTAGAAGTACGGTATTAGTAATAAGCTGTTAATAAGTGCTTAATAATGACTAGTTCAGACTTAGTAGTCCACTAATATGTATATTAATTGGCAGCTAATTAATGGTTAAGTTGTGTTACCTAAACTAAAGTGTTACCAAAATCAAATATTTATTTTGACAGGCACAACACTGGGTTTATATTTATATACTAGCCACTAGAGGGCACCATTGCGGGTTGCCAAACAGTCCGCTCGCCACAGCAAGGCTGTGGAAAGTGACGGACTCAGCAAGTGAACCAGCTGCTTCTGAGCCCAGAATATGTCGTTGTCCTTCTCAGAAGTGGAGCGACCATAAAAAAAAATCTAAACCCAGAGTGAGTTTAGGTGAAGCCTGCAAGAGATGGACCCAAATAAAACATTTCACGTATCAGCAGTGAACCTGGTATCCCAACGTCTGGAAACCTTGTTGTACTGTTGCAACTACAACCTCACTAGATGTCGCTTTGGTGTTTGTGTTCATATTCAACCTTTAAGCAACCTGGCGTTAGCACATTTTGGAGACAGAGAAGCTGGTGAGGGAATGAAATGATGAATTGAAGACAGATTTTCAGACTTGCAGATGCTTACATCCAAATGAGAAACCTTAATGAAATGATATTGTTTTTAAGATATAACTACATTTAAATGTACGTCTTCAAATTACTTATGGGAGCATTAATTATCTGATCCACGACAGCGCATCTGTTGTAAATCAAACTGCCAGCTATAAACCTATCTGGTTTCTGTAAAAACCAGCTCAAACCAGCAGGAATTAGCCAACAGGCAGGCTGATTTTTATTGATGCAATGAAAAATACATGTAATTTCCTGTCTAAAGCCCCTTTAAAATTGAATGTTTTAGTTTAATGTTATATAGTTTGTAAAAACTAATGACATTGTTTGAATGTGAGACATTTGTACATTTTAGGACTGCAAAAATGATATTTCTTAGAGCAATAAAGGTATCATGTAATGACATTCAGGTATTTGTAAGTTGTATTTGTTTTCTCATATAGTTATTTTGTTAAAAAAATTAAATGATGTGATATCACACTAATGTTATGTGCATGGGTAAAAACAGCTGTCTGAATTCAGAACATCACGTGTTTTTCTAGACATTTATCTTACGGTGTGTTTTAACCACAAGCTTCATCTGAAATTCATTCATGCAAATGCGATATTAAACTATACTCCTGGTTTTATACCTGCGTCATTCGTTTGACCTGATAGAGAGGAATAATGTCAGAGTGACCCGTCCACCACAAAAACACTATAAGTAAAAACAAATATGTACCGAGAGTGAGGAACTGGTGACAAAATGGATCTGATTCTCAGAAATGCATCAAATAAACACACACAGAACATCTGGGCTAAAGCTGTTTTCTTGGGACGATTGGAACAGTTTCTTTTTATATATAAAAATGTCCTGAATAGATAATTCCCATGTGAATGCCTACAACATCTCTTCTTCTTCCGGCTCTTGGAGAGTACAGACTCTTTTATCCTCCTCTCCTCCCCATCTTATCCTAAGGCTCTTTGTCGGTCTTTGGGTGTACGGCGCTTCTGCATTTTTTCTGGAAACTGGAAATTATTAAAAATGGACCTGGTCAGTTGGTCTCTCAATGCGATTGACACGATTTTTTCAACGATGGGAACGGGAGAAGGGGCTCACGGATGCCCCTCTGGGACAGAGCCAGCTGGGCATACCATGGACTCCTGGAAACAGTGGAACCTGATCTGCCTCTCTCAACTGTCTGTAGAGGATTCTGAAGACGTCTGGATATTTGTGGTGTTGGTGTCAGGTTTCCTGCTTTTTGGCCTGAGCAGTTACCTGGCTTACCGGAAAATTAATGAGCTGTCGAGGAATATTGGCTCAATCCTGGAGCTCAGGGATGGATTACACCGCGCTGTGAACGCACAAACTCATTTAATTGTCGAGATGAGTGGTAAGCCTGGAACTTTGGCTCAGATTCAGACTCTGGCACAGAAGGTGGATTCAATCAAGGAGCGAGTTGACGGGCCAGCGCGGATTGGGATAGATTAATTACGCCATTATTGGATTTAGAGGGGTTGAGGACCAACAGAACTTTAAGACAGAGAGGAAAATTTCTCTGTCAGACCCCAAAACAAGTTCTTATCTGAACCTGGTGCCCTTGAGCCTGTGAGGCTGAAGCGATTACTCCCTGTCAGAAGAAATGTGGAATGCTGCCGTCGCCATGGCAACTCTGTCTCCCTATCCCAGCCTGGGCGGGACTGCGACCAGTGAAGGCCATTGAATCGTTCCAGGAGTCACTGTGCTCTCTACACCCTACGACCTCCCTCTCCTGTCCAAACGGAGGTGACGAGCGCTGCTTATCGTGGCTGCATGCACTGATGTGTGGAGAGTCCCCAAACCTACCCCCCCCACCTAGTGGACACTTATGTTGTGTAATGTCTGAAGTTTGTTGCATTTCTGTCTCAGGTGTTTTTTGCATAGCAAAGCTACCTTCCCTGTGGAGGGTAACTCTGAATTGCCTTTTTTCCCTCCACCTGGCTCAATCCTCACATATAAACCCTCTTATCTCTATTAAGGTAGCGCGACTCGGGTTGCGAATGACCACAGTCACCAATTCTTGTCATGTGTCTATGCCTGTGTATGTCTGATCTCAGAATTGTGTGTACTGAAACTCTAGTTTCCCTCTGGGATTAATAAAGTATCTTTGAATTGAATTGAATTGAATGAACTGATGTTAACATGCTAAAAGGCCTGATGATGAACACCGTGCCCTCCTCTCAGCCTGGGAGAGTTGAAAGCATGGCGGCAGAATCTTAATGCTCTTTCTCCGTGCATAAAACATGATGTAACATTCATCACACCCCCATTCAAAACCTCATATTCTTCTGCAGTGTCAGAGAAAGGATGGCATTAATGCACTGCCCACTAATTCACAGTAAATCATGAAAAGAGGGGGTTCTGCACACATTTTGTCAGTTGTCTCGACTGAATTTCTTATCTTCTTGTTCAAATTTCTGCAGGAGAAAACCTTTTGTCTGCTATCAGGCAAGACAAGATCTTAGTATTTGCAGAGCGGCTGATTAATTCGGTTTGACCTGAGCCGTGTTATTTCAGCAAACAAATTCTTGCAGCTTGCTTCTCGGGCTCATTAAGATTTCATCACTCTGTTTAAATGAACTGTTGCATAAGAGTTTCTCGTCTGGAGAGACGTGATGCTGGGCTGTTTGATCAAGCTGCACAATTCAAACCAGCTTTTTTTCACCCTTCTCCCTGTTTGTACAGAGACCCGAACCCCAAGGTGGAACGACTGTACGACAGCGAGAGAGATGACCACATGCTGAGAGTTCAGAACTTCTCCATTTTGAATCGACACCTCAGGGCTTTTTATCAGGTAGGGGGAGGCCTCGGAGGGGAAGGGAGTGAGAGATTAAGGTTTTAGATTGAATCATCAGGAGGGAAATCAAAAATAATTTGCCAAGAGTCAACAGAGAATTGGGGTATTCTCAAGAGTTTCCACTTTTAGATGAGTAAAAGCTGTTGAAAATAAAGATTTTAAAGGTATAGAACACTAAAAGACCATTTTTTAATTGATTCTTTCTGATTACATTCAATCACTCTGAGTTTTCCACACAGGCTGAACATGTAAATAGTCTCCTACTTGCTTTAGCTTGATAGAAAACAGACAGAAAACAGCAGAGAACATCTCGACAAGTAGAAGCCAACTGTTAGCATTAGCAATTCCACCACACAGCAGAACTCCTTCAGGCATATTATTTGTTGAGATCAAACATCATTATCCAATCAGAGGCGAGATGTTCAAATATCAGGAAATAAGAGTCTGAATCCTGCCGTCTGAAGCGGCTTTCTCCTCCAGCTGAGTTCTCTGTACTGATTCAGAAGCTTCTGGGCTTTTTCTCCCCTGAGTACGACTTACAAGGCATTTAATTCCTACTAGAGACCACTGCAAATATATTGATTAAATGAGTGTTCACTCATTTTTCTAATTATTTTGTACTTAGGGGAAGGACAAATAAATACTATTTCTTTTATATGGCATGCTGGTTCACTTTTTAGATTCCATAAATTCGTCGTCGTCTTCTTCCGCTTATCCGGGTCCGGGTCGCGGTGGCAGCATCCCAACTAGGGAGCTCCAGACCGTCCTCTCCCCGGCCAACTCCGCTAGCTCCTCCGGCAAGACCCCAAGGCGTTCCCGGGCCAGATTGGAGATGTAACCTCTCCAAAGTGTCCTGGGTCGACCCGGGGGCCTCAATGCCCAATACACCTCCCCAGGGAGGCGTCCAGGAGGCATCCTGACCAGATGCCCAAACCACCTCAACTGACTCCTTTTGATCCGGAGGAGCAGCGGTTCTACTCTGAGCCCCCCCCCCCCCCAATGTCCGAGCTCTTCACCCTATCTCTAAGGCTGAGCCAGGCCACCCTACGGAGGAAACTCATTTCGGCTGCTTGTATCCGCAATCTCGTTCTTTTGGTCATTACCCAAAGCTCATGACCATAGGTGAGGATTGGGACGTAGATCGACCGGTAAATCGAGAGCCTGGCTTTCTGGCTCAGCTCCCTCTTCACCAAGACAGATCGGCTCAGCGTCCGCATCACTGCAGACGCCGAACCAATCCGCCTGTCGATCTCCCGATCCCTCCTACCCTCACTCGTGAACAAGACCCAGAGATACTTAAACTCCTTCAATTGAGGTAGGACCTCTCCCCCGACCCAAAGTTGGCAAGCCACCCTTTCCCGGTCGAGAACCATGGTCTCAGATTTGGAGGTGCTGATCCTCATCCCAGCCGCTTCACACTAGGCCGCGAACCTACCCAGCAAGAGCTGAAGGTTAGAGCTGGATGAAGCTAGGAGGACCACATCATCCGCAAAAAGCAGAGACGAGATTCTCCTGCCACCAAACCCGACACACTCCACACCACGACTGCGCCTAGAAATTCTATCCATAAAGGTAATGAACAGAACCGGTGACAAAGGGCAGCCCTGGCGGAGTCCAACCCTCACCGGGAACAGGTCCGACTTACTACCAGCTATGCAAACCAAACTCACGCTCTTCTGGTAAAGGGACTGAATGGCCCTTAACAGAAAGCCACCCACCCCATTTTCCTGGAGCGTCCCCCACAGGGTGCCCCTGGGGACACGGTCATAAGCCTTCTCCAAATCCACAAAACACATGTGGATTGGTTGGGCAAACTCCCATGCCCCCTCCATCACCCTTGCAAGGGTATAGAGCTGGTCCACTGTTCCACGGCCAGGACGAAAACCACATTGCTCCTCCTCAATCTGAGATTCAACTATCGATCGGACCCTCCTCTCCAGTACCTTGGAGTAGACCTTTCCAGGGAGGCTGAGGAGTGTGATCCCCCTAAAGTTGGAACACACCTTCAGGTCACCCTTCTTAAAGATGGGGACAACTACCCCGGTCTGCCACTCCACAGGAACTGTCCCCGATGACCACGCAATGTTGCAGAGACGTGTCAACCATGACAGCCCTACAACATCCATAGCCTTGAGATACCCAGGACGAATCTCATCTGCCCCCGGGGCTCCGCCGCTGTGTAGTTGTTTGACTACCTCAGCCACTTCTGCCCGCGAGATTGGACAGTCCATCCCCAGGTCTCCCGGCTCTGGTTCCTCCTCGGAATGCTCGTAGGTGGTATTGAGGAGCTCCTCAAAGTATTCCTTCCACCGTCCGACTATAGTCCCAGTTGATGTCAGCAGATCTCCATCCCCACTGTAAACAGTGTGAGCGAGTTGCTGCCTTCCTCTACTGAGGTGCCGGACAGTTTGCCAGAACCTCTTTGGAGCCGATCGATAGTCTTTCTCCATGGCCTCACCAAACTCCTCCCACGCCCGAGATTTTGCCTCGGCAACTGCCACTGCTGCACCCCGCTTGGCTATCCGGTACCTGTCTGCTGCCTCCGGAGACCCACAGACCAGCCACGCCCTGTAGGCCTCCTTCTTCAGCCTGACGGCTCCCCGAACCTCTGGTGTCCACCAGCGGGTACGGGGGTTGCCACCACGACTGGCACCGGCCACCTTACGACCACAGCTAGCAACAGCCGCCTCAACAATCGCAGAGTGGAACAAGGCCCACTCGGACTCAATGTCCCCCACTGCTCTCGGGACACGGTCAAAGCTCTGCCGGAGGTGGGAGTTGAAGAACGTCTTGACAGGTTCTTCTGCCAAGCGTTCCCAGCAGACCCTCACTATGCGTTTGGGTCTGCCAGGTCTACGCGTCATCTTCCCTTGCCATCTGATCCAACTCACCACCAGGTGGTGATCAGTTGACAGCTCCGCTCCTCTCTTCACTGGGGTGTCCAAAACATACGGCCGCAGGTCAGATGATACGACTACAAAATCTATCATCGACCTGCGACCTAGACTGCCCTGGTACCAAGTGTACCGATGCACAGAAGTCCAATAACAAAACACCACTCAATTTCAGATCAGGCGGGCCGTTCCTCCCAATCACACCCCTCCAGGTCAAGCTGCCACTGCCCACGTGAGCATTGAAGTCCCCCAGCAGGACAACGGAGTCTCCTGATGGAGAACTATCTAGCACTTGTCCCAGGGATTCCAAAAAGGGTGGGTACTCTGAACTGATATTTGGCCCATAAGCACAAACAACAGTCAGATCCCGTTCCCCGACCCGAAGGCGCAGGGAAGCTACCCTCTCGTCCCCTGGGGTAAACCCCAACACACAGGTAGAGAGTCTTGGGGCTAACAAAAAGCCAACCCCAGCCCTCCACCTCTCACTCGGAACAACTCCAGCAAAGGAGAGTGTCCACCCCCTCTCAAGGACTTGGGTTCCAGAGCCAATGATATGTGCTGAGGTGAGTCCGTCCATATCCAGCCGGTACCGCTCAACCTCTGCCACAAGCTCCTGCTCCTTCCCCGCCAGCGAGGTGACGTTCCATGTCCCAAAAACCAGTTTCCTTTTCCGGGGATCGGACCACCAAGGCTCCCGCCTCGGTCTGCCACCCGATCCATACTGCACCGGACCCTTCATGTTCCTCCTGTGGGTGGTGGGTCCACAGTTGGATGAGCCCATGTATCCGTTTGGGCTGGGCCTGGCCGGGCCCCATGGGCGAAAGCCCGGCCACCAGGCGCTCGCTCACGGGCCCCAACCCCAGGCCTGGCTCCAGGGTGGGACCCCGGTAACCCTCCGGGCTGGGTACTCTGACTCTTTACGTATATCATATATATATATATATATATATATATATATATATATATATATATATACAATTCCATGTATTCATTTATTCAAATTTTCATTTATTTAGACATCTGAAGTATAATCTGTAAATAATCCCAGTGTTGGCGTAACAAACGCAAACTTGTCACATGCATCTCTTGGAAAATGTAGAATATTTTCAAAGAAAAACAAAGTCCAGTGTAAAGCATGAGGTTTGTTCACATGCAGCCAAATGTCACATTGTTTGTAATTACCATTGTGTCAATCAGATGGCCACATGCAATGTGACAAACGTGTGTCAACAGTGGTAGACCTCAGAATAATGGTCATGCTGCTTTGTTCCCTAAGTCCAACAGAGCTTAAGGCTTACCATCCCTCCTTTGATTTTATAGCCAGCAGCATCACTGCTCTGCTCCTCTCAGTGCCCTAATCAGCCTGTTTTCAGCTGCTAGATTATTTCAGCTCCAGTCCTGCAAAGTCTTGGACTTTTATTCTGCAGGAATAACAAACTTCTTTGTGCTGTAAAGAAGCTTTAAGGTTTGAGAAATTCTGTGATTAGTGAATTTTTTAGTCTCCCGGTTTCAAAGAGCACAAACATGTCAATAAAATTTTTTTTTCAAGTTTTATTTTCACATTTGTGAATAACGCCTAGAATTTGATTATTCCATCCAGCTGACCGAGTCACATGTGAGGCTGATGTTTTTCAACTATAGTTGCTTGAATGTAAAGAGTAACATTGTAATACGTTGTCATGTTAAAAGTAAATGTGTATTACTCTTTACATTATAGCTACTGGTTTAGTAAAACCAGTTGACATAACTTTAAATAAAGGTTCATTTTTTTAGTGTAGCTAGTAGATAAAAAGTCATTTGTCCCAGAATGAAGTTTGGTGAAACAAACTGTCATGGTCTGCATTGTGTTCTCCATCCCTCTCTAGGTTCCCCTTATGTGTCTCCTTGTGTTCTCCATCCCTCTCTAGGTTCCCCTTATGTGTCTCCTTGTCTGCATCCCTCCTCAGGTGCCTCCCTGTGGTCCCCAACCCCCTCCAGGTTCTCTCCAGGTTTCCCTCATGTTTCCCTTAGTCACTTTTCTGATTGTTAGTTTTCTGTTATAGCAGATTGTCTAGTTTCGTTTCTCCCTTTAGGTATCATCCTCCCCTGTCTTCCAGTGTTTAT